CCCCAAAACCCCAAAACCCCAAAACCCCAGTAAAAAAATATAATTTAAGAATTCAATGGAGAAAGTTCAGGATATAAACCTAGTGAAGCAGAGTTCTATGAACCAGGAATCGTCCCTTCCGAGTATTGTAAGATTATATGGGGTTATGGTAATTTGTAGCACAGGATGACCACGCAGACACCGATTCAGGAGAAAAAGTCTGAAGAAAGTTTAGATAGTTATGTTAGACCGTCTATTAGTATAAATAAAGCCAAGACCATTTCTGTTGATGAGAATTTTAAAGATGAGCAAGAGGGACAGCCTGGCGGTGATGATAAATTTCTTGATGCGACTGATGCTAAGATACAAGCTAATAGTAAGTTATTGTAGCTGCTTAGCCTATCTCATCCTATGTCTGATTTATCATATCTAGGTGTCCCTTTGAACCAAAATGAAAGTTCAGTGGAAGAAAGAAAGAAAGTAGACATCAGCCAGGTAAGTAGAAGGAGACTATCATACATTAAGATCAGCTAAATATTTCCTTTATCACTTTATTTGAGTGGTTTCTCCTTTTCGATCCAGAATATTTTTCTCTAACTTTTTAAATGAGAATCAAAAAATATTTTTATTTAGAGTAATTCAGAAGAAAATAGTGAAAATTATGATAATATTGATGAGCTGGATGAAGCAGGTGCTGAATTTGCCCATCTCTCCTTCCTTCAACTTATAATGGAGAAATCAAAGTCAAGTACCAAAAATAATCAAGCTGATCCTTTCATGCCAAGAGATCTTGGCTTGAGAAGTTCATCTTCATCGTCATCCAGTTCTAGTAGTCCATCACCGAGAAGCCCTCAAAAAGAGCTCCGAAAATCGCAAGATGGTTCTTGTCTTTCATTCAATGGGTATTATCCCAAAGATAAAGAGGAGCCAATCGATTTAGCTAATAAATCAGCTAGCTTGGGAATATCGAATAATAACAATAATGAGAATGAAAAAGAAAATAATGAATCTTCTCAGGCAAGGAAGAGTTTCTTCAAGCAAAATACTCAGGTTAACCCAGATATTGACAAAATTTTAGTCAATGATTTAATAGATAATGAAACCACAACTCCGAAAATGGTAAACTCTTTTAACCACAAGCCTGAGGAAGACCATTGGAAGCTCTGAATTTTTGAACTCGGCAAGAGTCAATACCACGTCTTTAAAAATAAAATGATTGCAAACTATGATCTCCCTATTATTCCAGAGGATGAAACTTTGATCTTATGAGTAAATTTTTCCCAAAAGGAGCTAAAGAGTTTGTTAAGAGAGAGACTTCAGATTAATCCCATACTCTATTCAGAATGCATGCTCCTCTCCCAAGTTGATAAGATCTTGGAATTCAATGACAGAGCTATCTTCTACAACATGGTCATCACCAGAGAATATTATGACGATGATCCTATAATCGTCAGGGTGGTGAGAGTCAACAATGTTGCTGTTATCATAGTGAATGAACTTGAAAATGACTCATTTAAGATCTCAGAGAACTTGCCAAAGAAATTCAAACTCAAACAAGCCCAAAATGCATTTAACTCTCTTAGGGCGGATTATAATAATATATTAGGAAATCAGAATGATAAAGATCTTCCTGGAAGTAATGACTCTTCACTCTCCCAAGATGAGCCTCAACAGATTGTCCAAAAAGGAGAAGTAGGAAATGTCATTATCCAGAGAATGAAGACAATAATACCTAACAGTGAAAAAGTCACTATTGATTCGATCATCTTCTGGATATCTAACGAAGGTCTCAAGAGAATTGAGAAGTTGATCAATGAAGATCTCCTAAGAGAGGTAAACAGTATCCAAGATCAGAGTAGAAATCTCGGAATTGACAGCAAGCTTGAGTTTCTTCAGAAATTAGACATATTCCAAAACCATTACATCGGAGCCAAGAATGCTCAAGAGTCCAAATAAGTGATATTTTGAAGAAATTATCAAATCAGAGCTACCAAGCCTTGAATTCAGATATTTGATCAGACACTTAAAAAGTAGAATGGGAAATCTAAACCACACCGCTTTTATAATAGAGAGAAGGCTAGAACTTGCTAGGAACAGGTTCGCAGCTTCCATTGATGCAAGCATTAGTAACTATTCAAGAGATTTAGACTCACTTATGAAGAAATTTGCAGTTATTGCAACAATTTTCCTCCCACTGCAGTTAGTCTCAGGAATGCTAGGGATGAATCTAAAGGTACCCTTCCAAACTACTGATAGCACTTGGCCGTTCTGGGCCCTGACAGGAGTCATGACACTGTTAGTACTTGGCTTCTGGATCCTGTTTAAAAGGTGGAAGTACCTCTAACTCAAATTATACTTTCAATATAAATAATTAAATTTGGGGTTTTGGGGTTTTGGGGTTTTGGGGTTTTGGGG